TTTCACACTAATCATTTTGTAACACATTTTAGTGTCTGTGAACACTTTTCTATTCTGTTTTCAAAATTGATTTAATGAACTGTGGAAATTAATTCTGCAATACGTTTTTTTTTTTTTTTTTTTTTTTGCATTAGTTTGTCAAGTTCCCGTAAGTCATGATGAGATTTTGATTAGAATTGACCTTAATTTTATTGTATTGGAATGTGAGTTTCATAGATTACCGTGGAGACAAGCGACAATATTACAATGTTAAGAAATTCTATCAATAAATATACTATGTCTCTCCTTTGTTCAGATCTTCTTTTATGTTCTTCTGAGCTGTGGGCAAAGTGGCACTTGCAATGTCAGGGATAAGGAGTGCACTTTGCTTTTGCTCTTCCTTTCTTGTTGCTGGCTGGATTGTGAATGTAATTATTGAGTTTGAAACAATCATTTTTGAATCAATAATGACCTTGGAAATGGAGGCAAAACATAGCAGAGTAACACATTAGAGGGTCCAGGATTCCTCACCCTGTGGAGTGCCATATCAGGTCTGGATCACCTATACTGGACTTACATGGGAAAGAGAAAAAAATCTCATTTATTGAAACCACTGCTTCTTTGGTTGTGCTGTCACTCACAGCCACCTTCATCCTGATATATCTAGGCTCCGCCCCAGTGGTTCTTAGGGTGGGCGGCCCCAGAGCAGCAGCCACAGCATCACCAGGAGTCTTGTTAGAAACACACATCCTGGGATCCTGATACACTGAATCAGAAGTGCTAGGTAGGGCCCAGTAATCTGGGCTGTGACCAATCCACCTTTGATTTACCCTCTGGCCATTCTGATTCTAGGTATGAGCTGATTTATCCACAGAAGATTCCCTTTCACTGTAGTTTTCTGCATTACAGAAATGTTCTGGTCTTCTGTGTGTATAAATTGAGAGGCAATTCCATGATTACTGTCAAGAACTCCCTAGGCACACCTTCTGTCAAGTTTCTCATTCAAAAACCAGTGTTTGAAACCACTTCCTGAAATGTTGCTCATATAATATTAAGCCCTCTTTGTTTATTAATCCAATGAAATGTCTTACTCTTTAGATATCTGACCTGGCAAACTGACCTGAGTGAAAATGGGGGTGTCTTGACTCACAAAATTAAAATTTCCAGTAGGACAGCTAGGCAAGCTTTAGGCATGGCTAGACTTAGTCCCTCCCTTTCCATCCCTTGACTGTACTTTCCTCAGTTGGCTTCATTCTCAGCAAGCTTTTTCTGTGTGGTGCCCTCAGCAGCTCTGCTTACATAATCTCTATAGTTAGCAAACCCAGTAGTTCCAAGACAGCACAAAAGCTGAGGCTTATTGGCCTGGTTTGGGTCTCGTGCTCAGCCCTGAACCAATCATATGCATTAAGTGACCATATGCATCAAGTGTTCTGATATTCCTCTAAGCACTTGCACATCCTGGGTTGATAAGCCTGAGTGAGTCATGCCTCCATCATGCAGGAGCAACCACGTTGGTACCTTCTCTAAGGCTTCTCCATCCCATGGTTGTGGGGCCATTGGAGACAAAGGGTCATCATAATTTAGAAAAGCAAATTGATCGTCTGAGGACTGGCTGGTGAAATAATCATCTTTACCAGTCATTTACAGATCCAGAAAATCCAGTGAGTCCAAGAGATGGAAGGAGACATGACATCAGCAGAGAGTAGACAGAGGGAATAGAAGCCAATAGGGAAAGATACTGAGGAATGGAAGAGACAGAGTGAAAGACAACATTACGAGAGGTGGGCAGAGACAGAGACAGGCAAAACCCTACAGAGAAAGAGAGCAGCATGCACCCATGAAGTGGAGGGGCAACAACAGACCCTGCCCCACCACGCTGTGCACACAGACACACTCACACACTTGGGAACACTGCCAGAGAGAAACGATAACACAGACAGACTGAGGCTGAGAACAACATGCCTATTGGGTATGAGGGATCTAGGGTGGCTGGCTGAGAGAATCATTCAGGGATGGTGGGATAGTTGTTTCTAGGCAGTAGGATTTCAACTGTGCTTAAGTCACAGATCTAAGATCTGGATGGACTTGTGAATCGTGTATTCATTCATCAGATAAATATTTATTAAAACAACAAAAATACAACAACCACCCAATGAAAATTATTGCAAGGGACTTGAATATACATTTGTCCAAAGACGGTATTCAAATGGAGACCATGCACCTAAGTCAGCAAAATTAGTTATTAGGGAAATGCAAAATCAAGCCCACAATTAAACATCACATCACACCAACTAGAATGGTTATAATTTTTTTAAAAAAGAGAAAATGGTGAATGTTAGCAAGGATGTACAAAAATCAGAACCCTTGTACATTGCTGGAGGGAATGTAAAATGATGTAGCTGCTAGATATTCACAACAGGTTTATTCACGAGAGCCAAAGGTGCAAACATCCAAATGTCCATCAACGATGAATGGATAAGCAAAGTGTGGCATATCCATACAATGGAATATTACTCAGGATAAAAAGTAATAATATATGCTACAACATAGATGAACCTTGAAAACATTATGTTCAGTGAAAGAAGCCAGACACAAAATATTGTATAATTCCATTTATGTGGAAAATCTAGAATAGGTAAATTCATGGAGACAGGTGCAGATTGGGATGGCCTGGGGCTGGAGATAATGGAAAATGGTAGTTTAATGAATATGGGTGTATTAGTCCGTTTTCACCCTGCTGATAAACACATACCTGAGACTGGGCAATTTATACAAGAAAGAGGTTTGTTGGACTTACAGTTCCACTTGGCTGGGGAGGCCTCACAATCATAGCAGAAGGTAAGGAGGAGCAAGTCACATCTTACATGGATGGCAGCAGGCAAAGAGAGAGCTTGTGCAGAGAAACTCCCATTTTTAAAACCATCTGATCTTGTGAGACCCATTTACTGTCGAGAGAACAGCACGGAAAAGACCCATCCCTATGATTCAATCATCTCCCACCAGGTTCCTCCCACAACACATGGGAATTATGGGAGCTACAAGATGAGATTTGGGTGGGGATGCAGAGTCAAACCATATCAATGGGATTTTCTTTTATTGTGATAAAAATGTCTGAGAACTTTATAGAGATGGTGATTGCTTTACATTGTGAATCTGCTAAATATCACCGAATTGTTAATTTTAGTTCAGTGGTTAATCTTACGTGGTTAATCTAAAAATGATTAGTCTCATTCATTGCATGAAGATCACTTCAAACTTACAGACCACACACACACACACACACTCTCTCTCTCTTCTTTTTCTTTTTCTTTTGAGACAGAGTCTCACTCTGTCCCCCAGGCTGGAGTGCAGTGGTGTGATCTTGGGTCGCTGCAGCCTCCGCCTCCCAGGTTCAAGCGATTCTCTTGCTCAGGTTCCTAAGTAGCTGGCATTACAGGCACGTGCCACCACGCCTGGCTAATTTTTGTATTTTTGGTAGAGACGGGATTTCACCATGTTGGTCAGGCTGGTTTTGAACTCCTGACCTTGTGATCTGCCCATCTCGGCCTGCCAAAGTGCAGGGATTACAGGCGTGAGCTGCTGTGCCCGGCCCTGCTTCCTGTTTTTTTTTTAATGAGTCAGGTGTGGCCACAAGCGGAGACAAAAAGAAACTCAAGAAAACTAAGTTTATTACACTCACAGGACCTGGTTCTTACAGTGGGCGGCATGCCATGTAGGGTGACAAGGGAAGCTCCAGGCTTTGGTGAGGTGGCAGAGGAAGAAGCAAGGGGAGATCTGAGGTCGTGGTCTTAATTGAGTTTCTGAGGGAAAGGCAAGGTAGGGCAGGGTAAAGCGTTAGGGTTGGCTGGTTGGCATAATGTGGTGAGTTCTAAGCTGCAGAGGTGGTCCCTAGTGTTCTGGTACCTGCCCAGGAATAACTAAGGGAGAGGAATGTTGCCTCCCGTGGTGTAAGAGCCAGATGCAGGAGGTCGGCTCTGGATTGGGTAGTTTGGATATCTAAATATATACAGATTGAGTACCCCAATCTAAAAATTCAAAACCCAAAATGCTCCTAAATCGGAAGTTTTTTGTGTGCTGAAATGAAGCTCAAAGACAATGCTGTTGGAGAATTTTGGATTTTGATTTTCAGATGACGGATGCTGAATATGTAAGTAAAAAGTAAATATTCCAACATCCCCCAGAATCTGAACTCTGAAGATATTCTGCTCCTAAGCATTTCAGATAAGGCTACTGAACCTGTACATATGTGTAGATACATAGAGAGGGAACCACAATGTTCCAAGTCCCATTCTAGGCCCTGGGAACACAGCACTGACCCCAGAATCCTGCTCTCCTGGAGGCAACCCTCTAGAAAGAAAAAGAAAATAGACAATAGGGTAAGACAAGCTCAAGTAGTGATGAGGACTTTGAAAACAGGAAGGCAGACTGAGGAGCTGGAGAGGGTGCCTTTGCACGGAGACAAACCTGCATAGAGTGGGAGCTCCATACAGAAGCCGATGAGCCTAGGAGAGCAGGCAGCAGGGCAAAGTTCTCAGATGGGAACATGCTTGGGATAGTTGCTAAATAGCAGAGCAGCCAGGGAGAACATAAAGAGGATGAGATGGCCAGGGCCAGACTATGCAGGGTTATGCAGACCCAGGGAGGGCTTTTGAACTTGCTCAAAGTGGTAAGGGAAGAGGCTGGAGGATTAAGAGCCAAGAATGGCACAGGCCTCCATATTGCATGGCCACAGGGGGCGCCATTACGCACACCACAGCAGGAACCAGTCTCCCTGGAGCTGACCTTCTTGGTGGCTCTGCAACCCCAACCCCCTCACCTATGGCCGACATTGCCAATCTATCACAAGCCCTGCTCCTCCAGCATGGGGCTGTCACATCCTTCTCCCCACAGGACCCCAGACAAGCCGGCTGACTACTCAGAGCTGACCTGTGAGATGCCAGGTACCTGTCCTCATTTCCCTAACCCTTTGCTGAGACAAAGATCTCTCAGAGTTTGTTTAATAGAGAACTACGGACACATAGTTGGAGCAGACCTGGTCAGTTCTTTATTGGGAAGGGGATGCAGTCTGTAATTCGGCAAATCTGTGATCCCAGGAAGATGTCAAGCTCAAGACTCAGCTGGCTTGTTGTGAGCTCATAGCTGCCATGGAAAAAGCCACGGGTATGGCAACTTCTCCAGCGCCAGTAGACCTGGATGATGCGGACAGCATTGAGCAAACGACAGTAACGACGGCGGACACGCCACATGCGGACCCAGGACTGCAGCCTGACTGCTGCCCATAGCTGCCGTGTGCAGAGCTCCAGTGCCGCCTGCCGCCTCTTCGCCTGCAGCCTTGCCAGCACCTGCCTCCACCAGCACTGAATGATCAGGGCTCTGAGGGCCGCATGCAGTAGTGTGCGTCGCACCAGCGTGCCCCGCCACCAGGCCTGGATTTTCGTGGAGGCCAGTTCAATGTCACCAGGTGGCTTCTTTAGTGGGGAGGGGTGCAAGGAAAAGGAAGGACACTCAGGAAACATTATCACACATCAGTCAGTCCCAGTCAGTCAGTCCCAGGGTGTGAGAGGAAGGGGCCTTGATCCTCTATGAGGAAAGGCCCTTTCCTCTAAAGTTCATGAATGGGACAAGAGCTGGACCTAGGAGACCTGATAGGTTTCCACTCTCTGCCACCCACAGGTTAATGGACATGGTCACCTCACCTTGACCTCTGAGTCTCAATGTCCCCAACTGCAAAATGGAGGTAGACTGCCCTGGCTACCTCACTTGAATTTCCATTGACCTTGTCAGCCAGTCTAGAGCAAGGACACTGTGTTTAAGAGGTTAAAGTGTTACCATGATCCACCTGGGCTGGACCACCCCTGACATCCATGACCCTTCCCTTCAGATCCTCCCACCAGCTGGTGTCCTTTGCTGGCCCTGCCCTCTCCTCCCCAGCTCCAGCTCAAATCCACAACCTGCTTTCTCCCTCTGTCATGTCATAGTATTAAAACTTTCCCCATTCCACACAGTTTGGGATCTTTCTCATTTATTTCTCACTTTGACCTCTTTTGACTTTCATACCTTAAACTTCAGTTACCCTACACACACATACACACATGTGCACACAGACATGCACACACACAAATTTTAGACTTAGATTGATTTCCATTTGGCCATGCATTATCCAAACAGTGCTCATCACTCTACTCTTGAACTTTGCATGATCTTGTCCCCACATTTCAGGGTTTATCTGCCCTGCACCCAAGTCTCCATGTCTCAGTCACCCACGTTTTTCAGGCTGACAAGGAAATGGGAGAAGAAGATATCTCAGGATGAATCACTTGCTGATCATCCCTGCTGTGTGTATGGCAATTATTTGTCCTGGTTGCTTGGGATATTTTTAGTTTATGATGCTTATTCCTGAGAAATAATAGCACCACCTTCCACAAATGTATCCTGGTTTGGGCTGTAAATTTCATGGTCATCCCAAGCTATGAGCCATAGAGAAGATAACCATCATTACTGGGCGACGAGGGTCAGAGAAGTTGCCTGTCAGGGGTCTGTCCCAAAATTAAGGGTCTGCTGTGACCTACCTTTGTTTGGCGTGGAAGAAGAGGTTCTCGTATCTTACTCCTTTCCTCCTTCAGTTTCTGTTTCATCAATATGTTTTTTTCATCATCATTCATTGCGTCGTTTTTAAATTGTCCAGGCTTCTGCAATCAAGTAAAGAGGAGAGGTGTGGGTAGGTCGTTCTTTGTGGAACTCAGTGCCAAGTCCACCAAATCTTCAATCTCCTAGCTTACCCAGAGACCTAGACACAGGGCTTGCACCTTGATTAACTGTGGGAATTCACCTTCCCTTGCCTGCAACTTTGGGTGAACTGGTGGTCTCTTACACCACAGCGAATGCCCATGATTTGGAGGTAGTTGGTTCAACCTCTTCAGGTCCGCAATCCCCTAAATTGCCCATAGTTAGGGGTTAGATGACTCCATCATGCTTGTGTGTACTCCTCTAGCCATATATGTGACAGGAAGAGTGGAGGAGGGGAGAATGATAATGATATAAGGGCACCTGTGACTCTGGTTATACAGTCTGGTTGATAAAAACATAAAATTGAGGTAACTTTAAATCTCCATCAATAGAAAAGTCAATCACATGGATTTCAAATCAGTCAAACAATAGAGCCAAAGAAGGATGACAAAGAATAAGTTTGCAGCAAAATTCTTAATCAGGTGCTTCAGAAAACAAAGTTTATGTATGGCTAAGAAGCACACAAAAAGATGCTCAACATCATTAGTCATGGGGAAAATAAAAACGGGAACCCAAATGGCATACCCTTAGGCATCCTAGAGAATGGCTGAAAAATAAGGACAGCACTAAATATTGGCAGGGACACCGAATGGCTGGATCTCTTATAGACTGCTGCTGGAAAGGTGTAAAACAGTAGAACCACTTTTGAAAATGGTTTGGCACTTCCTAATGAAGTTCAACATGCATCTGCCTTATAGCTCAGCAGTTCACCCCTAAAAGTTTGCAGATAAAAAATGAAAACACGTATCTACAAAATATATGTGCACAAATGTTCATAGCAGCTTTATTGAAATAAGTCAGAACTGGAAACAGCCTGAATGTCCACTAACAGGAGACTAGACAAAAAATTAGTGATATATTCATGTAATATAATAATACACAGTAATAAAAATAATTACATTCATAAAGAGTATACTATGTGTGCATCTCAGAAACATTAAGCTAAATGAAAGAAGCCAGATGTCCGGGCGCAGTGGCCCACGCCTGTAATCCCAGCACTTTGGGAGGCCGAGGCAGGTGGATCACCTGAGGTCAGGAGTTCGAGACCAGCCTGGCCAACATGGTGAAACCCCGTCTCTACTAAAAATACAAAAAATCAGCCGGGTGTGGTGGCAGGTGCCTGTAATCCCAGCTACTCAGGAGGCTGAGGCAGGAGAATCTCTTGAACCCAGGAGGCAGAGGTTGCAGTGAGCCGAGATTGTGCCATTGCACTCCAGCCTGGGCAACAGAGCAGAACTTCATCTCAAAAAGAAAGAAACTAGACATAAAGGAGTACCTACAAGATGATTCCATTTATATAGAATTATAAAACAGACAAAGTTAATATACAGGTAAGATAAATAAGAATGGAATTTACATTTAGTGTAGGGACAGAAGGCATGTTGCTTGCAAACAGTACAAAGGAGGAGGAATGTGCTGTCTCTTGTTTTGGGTGGTGGTTTCTGGGGAATATAGGATTGCAAAAACTCATTAAGCTGACCACTTAATGAAACCACAAAGAATAACTTTGTTCTGTCTGTACTGTAATGGAAGAGTATAAGGGAAACAAATGGAACTGAAGGATAACATGTTCCCTGTCATTTATAACACATGCATATAAATATCCAAGATTTGGAGGTAGTGCACGTGTTATAAATGTTTTCTTGCAGTAGTTTCATAGTTTGAGGTCTTAGATTTAAGTTTTTAATCCATTTTGTTCTGAAAATAAAAGATGATATACCTAGAGAGGGGTTTTGGTTTTTCTAACCATTGAATGTTATGTCTAACCATTCAATGTATTAGGCACTGGCTTAGTCTTTTAGTCTAAAATTTCACACCATTTACCTCTGGGAAACTTTTTTGCATTAGTTTTTTGATAATTTCAATCCCTTAATTTTCTTCGTTTTCTACTTTTCGAAATCCTATTAATTAGATCACAGCATGATCTTTTAATTTCCTAATAGTTTCTATTCTATCTTCCTTCTCTTTGTCTTTTTGTTCTACTTTCTGGAAGAGTTTCTGTTTCTGAAATGGTCTTTACCACCCTCTGAATAGTGTTTTCTTTTAGGGCACACTGCTCTTCCATCACTGATCTGTTATCATCCATATGGGACTAACAATATGAGTTACAATCATTAGGGGTTTAAAACATTTTCCCTTCTGTCCCCAGTAACATTTATTTTAAGCACCTTTCTTCTGTTTTAGATTTGGTCTCAATCTTTCATTTGAGAAACCTTTTACCAATGTTAGTGGTCCTTGGTTGGCTCTCCATGTATCAGATTGGGACACTGATAATTCAGTGGGAAGCTCAGTGTCCACGGGTGGGGCTTCTTATCTGGTGCTATTCAGTATATGTTGCTAAGGCAGAGTGTTGGGTTTGGTGTCGGTGAGGTGCCCCAAAGATCTGTATTCATTAGTTTATTTCTTTGCAGCTTGTGGTAGGTTGCGCTGGTGGCCCTACATTTTAATCTTTTGCTACAGAATTTTGTGATTTCTCCCTGTAAGGGGATGGGATATACCTTCCTGTGCCTTGGGTTTGGCTATATGACTTGCTCTAGCCAGTAGAATACTGTGGGAGGACAATATGCAAGTTCTGGGCTTGGCTTTCAGAGGTTTGCTCGTTTACATTTGCCTCTTGCATTCTGCTATTACCAAGAGTAGAACATACCCAGGGAGCCACCTGGTAGGTGCAGGGTGGGAAACATGGCACTGAGCTTCCCCAGCCAAGCAACCCTGGCTGCTTGCTTACTGTTGCTTGACGCTGAGTCTTACAGTTGGTTAGGCTGCATTAGTGCAGTAATCATTGACTGAATCCCCAGAGCCAGATTCCCAGAGAAGATTCCCAGAACCTCAGGTCAGAGAGTAGGAGAACAAACCTCCCTGCAGGAAGCTGAGTTGGTACAGAGGGCTGGAGGCCTTTCTATGCAGCCTGCACACTCTCCCATGCTCCCTCTATTTTTAGTATGGTGCTTCACCCCTGCCATTAGCCATGGCATGCCTGAATTCTGCTGACTCCAGATGCTGTCTGGTCCAACTTGTCCAGGAAATAAACTTGTGTTCTGCCAGAATGGGGAAGAAACTGTTGCCTGGCTGTATGCATGAAGAGGAGAATGAGGCAAAGCCAAGACATTCTTTCTTTCTTTCTTTCTTTTTTTTTTTTTTTTGAGATGGAGTGTCACTCTTGTTGCCCAGGCTGGAGTGCAATGGCGTGATCTTGGCTCACTGCAACCTCTGCCTCCTGGATTTAAGCAATTCTCCTGCCTCAGCCTCCTGAGTAGCTGGGATTACTGTCATGCGCCACCATGCTTGGCTAATTTTGTATTTTTATTAGAGACGGGGTTTCTCCACGTTGGTCAGGCTGGTCTCAAACTCCCAGCCTTAGGTGATCTGCCTGTCTCAGCCTCCCAGAGTGCTGGGATTACAGGCATGAGCCACCACGCCCGTCCACCCAACAAATTCTTAACCACATTTTCTTTTCTTTCTTTTTTTTTTTTTTTTGAGATGGGGTCTCACTCTGTCACCCAGACTGGAGTGTGGTGGTGAGATCTTGGCTCACTGCAATGTCCTCCTACCAGGCTCAATCGAGTCTCCTGCCTCAGCCTTCTGAGTAGCTGGGATTATAGGCATGCACCTCTACTGCTGGCTTTTTTTTTTTTTTTTAATATTTAGTAGAGATGGGGTTTCATCGTGTTGGCCAGGATGGTCTTGAACTCCTGACCTCAAATGATCCATCCACCTTGACCTCCCAAAGTGCTGGGAATACAGGCATGAGCCACGGTGCCCAGACTTAAGCAAATGTTTATATACCACCTTAGTTCTTACTACCTAATGCCTCAATTTCAGACTAATTGCTTTGTAACACATTTTAATGTCGGTAAGCATGTTTCAACTCCTTTTCTCTTTTTTCCCAAATTGACTTAACTAATTGTGGACATTTGCTCTATGGTATTATTTTTTGCACTAATGTGTCAAGTTCCCATAAATCACAAGAAGATTTCAATTAGAATCAGCTTTAATTTTGTGAGTGGAATATGATTTTAATAGATCACTTTGGAGATAATTGACAGCCTTACACTATTAACACATTTTTTGAAAGAACATAGCATATCTCTCCATTTGTTCAGGTCTCCTTTTATGTCCTTCTAAGCTGTGGGCAAACTGGACCAGAAATGTCAAGAATATACCCTTAAAGAGAAGGAGTATGCATTTCCCCTCCTTTTTTTCCTGCTGCTACATTGTCAATGTAATTATTGAATTTGTAGCACTCATTTTTGGATTATTGACGACCTCGGGAATGGGGGCAATACATAGCAGAGTAATACGTTAGACGGGGCCAAGACTTCTCACCCTATGGAGTGCCATACCAAGCGTGGACCACCTCTGCCAGACATACATGGGAAGGAGACACAATCTTCTCATTTATTGAAACCACTGTTCTTTTGATTATGCTAACATTCACAGTTACCTTCCTCCAGATATAGCTATGCTCTACCCCAATGGTTCTCAAAGGATGGGGCCCCAGAATAGCAGCCATAGCATCACCTGGAAAATTGTTAGAAACATACATTCTGGGACCTCGATAACACTGAATGAGAAGTGCTAGGTGGGGCCCAGTAATCTGCTTTACCAAGCCTTCCACAGGACTGTGGTGTGTGCTGAAAGTTGGGACGTACTGCTCTTACTGTTTCTCTCTTAGTTCCCATACCCACAATAGGCTCTCTCCATGGGGAGATTGTCTACTTTCTTTAGGAGACAGAGATGAGAGGTTATCCTGGAAGCGAAGGCTACCACACACTTGCTTTGTATAAGCAGAATACAGGGCAAGAGAAGGGAAGGCCTTGACCAGCTCATCTATTCCTGATCGAGTTGTTTCATGAGTGGCCGATGAGTGTGCCTGGCTCCCTGCTACTGACTTGTTGAATTA